AGTCCTCTCCCCTCCTTGCAGAACGTCTCTGACTTATAGCTGCCTGCTAATTTATTTATTATTGTTGTTATTTCCCCCGATCCCTTACTTGGTTCCCCTATATTCCTCCTCTAAGTGAAACTATCCGGTATTTCTCTTTTTCCTTTTGGCTTATTTCCCCGGCACAGGCCCGTCGGCTCCGGCCTGCTGCGGGGCGGCCAGCAGAGGGCGCCCCGAGCCGCCGCAGACGCCGGGGCCGGCACCGCCGGGGTCAGGGCCTGAACCACCCGCCCCTCAGGGCCTCTGGGGCAGACGACTCTGTAACGGGTCCCAGGGATTCTGAGGATGCAGGCGGAGAGCGCAAAGCTCAGGGCCAGGCGTCGGAAGGCCGGGAGCTGGAGGCGGGCTGGGAGAGGCGGACACCGCCCTGCGTCCTGGTGAACGGGTCACGCGTCACAGCCGTTCCGCGGCCGCCTGTGGTGAACGGCCCGGCCGAGGCCGCCGGGTTTCACGGCTGCATTTCCCCCCAATTTCCAGAGAAAGCCACACACTTTTAAGAAGTGAGTCTTGAGGGCCTCCCCGGCGGCGCAGGGGTTAACGACAGCGCTGTCAGGCTACGGCCAGGGAGCTACCCACACGGCGCGGCAGGCCTCGCCTGGCTCCCGCTGCTCCCTCAGCAGTGTGTTCCGTGGATCCGCCCGTTCCGCCCCCCACTCTCTCTGGGGAGTCCTCACCCCCGCACCTCCGGCCTGCACCCCAGCTCTCGTGTGCCTAGATCAATAGATGCCTTTTTGTAAAAGGTGAGTCTTTAGAACGCGCTTATCGTGAACTCTCCTCTCCTGCAACAACCCGGCAAACTCTCCTCCCGACACCGGCCCGGGCCGCGAGGCCGCCGCGGGGGCGCAGACCCGCCCGTCAGGCGCGGCCCCGGCTGGGCCGTGGCCGCGGGGCCTGCTCTGCCCGGGCTCCTGAGGGGAGCGCGCGTCGCCACTGCTCGGGCGACCGCGGCGGCTCTTCGGGGGCCGCAGGGCGCTCGCGGGCTGCGGGGCGTCCGGGCCGGGCTCGGCGTCTCTGTCTTTCTGTCAGCAAGGGCTCGGCGAGGCCGGCGCAGGCCGCACTTCCTCGCGGCCCCGCCAGCCCCCACGTCCCTCGGAACCCCGAGCCCCGACACGCCCCGAGCTCGCGAACGAGCCACCGAACCGGACCCTCCGGGCCGGCCCGGACGCGGGGGGGGGCCCCGGCTGCCGCAGGCGCGCGCCCGGCCCCTGGGCCTGCCGGGAGGGCGGGTCCCGCCGCGCCCCGCGCCCGCCCTGCGCTCGGCTGCCCCGGTTTTGGGGGCGCTCCCCGCGAGCGGCCGCGGGATGCCTTCCTCTGGGGCAGCCGCGCCCCGGCCCCGCCCCGGCCCGGCGCGTCCCCCGGGGCGGCCGGGCGGGACGAAGGTGACCCGCGCCGAGCTGGATAGCCCGACGCCGCCAGGGGGAGGCCCCGGCCCGTCGGGGTTCACCGACGCCCAGCGCCGCTCTCCGAGGTCGGCGCGCGCCCCCGAAGCGCGCCCCGGGCCAGGGGCGACCCGAGCACCACGCTCCGGGGTCTGGCTGCGGGCGCGAGGGGAGAACGGCGAGGGGGGGCGGGCTCCGCGGCCTTCCAGCCCCGCCGAGCCCTCACCGCGGCCCGGCGCGCGACGACCCTCCGGGTGAGGCGGCCCCGCCCCGCGCGGTGAGGCCCCGCCCCCGGCCCGCGGCCCTTGGGGGATCCGGCTCCGCCCCGGCGTCAAGACCCACCCCCGCGCGGTCGCCCCGCCTCGGTGTTTGCGGGCGCCCCTGGCCCGGGGCGGGGCCCGACCGCGGTTGCCCGGCTTACTTCACGGGGCCGAGGGTGGGGGCGCTGAGGCCCCCAGAGCACCTAGGTAACCCCGGGTTCGGGCGAAGAACGGGCTTGGCCCTCCGGGCGGCTGGCACGGGGGTGGGGTGCCCGGACCCCCGGAGCCCGCGGGACAGAGATAGGGCGTCGGGACTGCCCGTCGCGAGGGCGCGGGCCGACAGGCTGACCCGGGAGGCCCGTGAGGAGGGCGAGGGGCGCAGGCCTGGCGGGGGGGGGGGGGTGGGGGTGGGGTGTGGGGTGGCGAGCGGGGGCCTCAGCTACCGGTGCCTGAGTTGGGGAGCCTTGGGGAGCGGCTGCTACCGGATCAGGACCCCCAGTGCAGCCGGAAGAGGAGGGTCCATTGTTTCCATGTTCTTACCCTTGTTCACCCCCTACCCACACCCCCCATTCTAGGTGAGGGGCGGCATAACAGCCCTGGAAAAATAATTTTTAGAAACAATTTTGACCGTGAAATTAAACATTTTCCTGGTCTCCCTGAAGTTATGATCCCTTTGGCAGCTGGAGGGAGGCAAGTTTATGTAAAAGACCGTTTCAGAGAAGGAAGGCGCAGGAGCCCTTCTAAATGCCTGTCGGAGGAGTTTAGAGTGTGGCCACACCCATCCAGCAATGACAAGGCTCCATCTCTTGGGCGTTCCAGTGCCTGGTACCTCAGAAATCGCCAATATTTGCTGAATGAATGAAAGGAATTGTACATAAAGGGGGGTGAAGCGTGGCCATTGTTCAAGTGTGTGGTGGATAAACCAGCTGTTTCTCCAAGGGATACTCTAGGTTGAACCCCAGGCTCCCCGAAGCTGCTCTGCCCTGTCCTTCATGCCACGGATCTCTACCAGGTGCACGCCTAAGCGGGGACCATGGGGTCTCGGGGCTAGAACACTGGCTAAAAGTCCCCGCTTCTCAGGGTGTCTGTTCTTTACTAAAACACACATGAAGAGCTCCATAAAGTACAGCATGCAGATGTGCTGTGAGGAAATCAAGCTCCTGGGAAACGGGACAACAGGGGTGGAGGCTGACATTCGGGAGTCAGAGTCAGGTGGGGCTGACAGGCGGGTGAAATGCTGCCACTGAGCGCTGTGAACAGTCTGGGGGCCCCCTCTGTGGCCAGCGGGCAGGACAGCAAAGCCAGCTGCCGGGACGCAGTCTGAACAGGCTCTGTCCATGCAGGAGGCTGGCTCGTGTGGGGAAGCCAGCCCCGCAGCCTCCACTGATGACCAGGAGCAGATAACATGGTGTGAACAGAGGGCCTGGGCTTTGCACTCTTTAAAGTCCAGAAAATGATTAAACGCCAGCCTTACAGCTTTGATGTCAACTACTTGCTCTGTGCTTCTTGGTAGCAAGGTCTGTGAGCTGCATCGAAACTTGATTGTGGGTGCGGTTCTCAGAGTAAAATCTGCCCGACTTCCCAGGACTGAATCCTCACTTTGATTATCTAATAAACTGTCTGTTGTTGAGACTTTCAGTCAACAGGGCAAATAGAAAAGTATCAAAGGCCAAAATCTGGGGCACGCAGAGACTCAAGAGGTCAAGCAGAGAGCCAAGCAAAGAATAAAGAGAAGGCGGGCTAAGGGGGAATGGAAGGGGGTGCGTCCCAGAAGCCCGGAGGATCCCGTCTTAGGAGGAGGGAGCTAGTTGGCACCTGCATCAAATGCTGGCGAGCCTAGTGAGGGCAGAGAACTTTCTACTGGGCTTCACCAAGATGGTATCTGGGCGGTATGGACGAGAGGAAGTGCAAGGCGAGGCGGTGACTAGAGGAAGCTGGAGGAATTTTGCTGTGAAGGGAGATAAGGATTTGTTTGCTGAAGGAGGAGCAAGGGGTCACTGTGAAGGCTTGATGGGCCAATCCACTGAGACATGAATGAGGCAGGAGGGGGAGTTGCTTTTCGAACTGGCTGAAAAGCCGCCCAGTTGTAAGGATGCTCACTCTGATGCACGGAGCAACCTCGTCAATTTTAAAGCAAAGACTCCCCACTCAAAACCACTGACAGTGATCACGCTTTGGAAACATTTCCTTAGCGACGCACATGTAGAGTTCTCATGCAGCAGTCACAGCTCCCTGGAAAATACCATGAGAAGGGGGGTTGCTCCATCCTGTGACTGAAATTGCAGGCAGGAAGGCAAGTGATGGCAAACCCTCCATTTCTCCTTCAGGTGATAGGTGGGGTGTTCCCCACCCGAGGCTAGACGGGGTCATGTGACTTGCTTTGGGCAGTGACATGTGGGCACAGCCGCAGCTCTGCCTCCGGGTGGAAGCTGTAAAAGCAGGGCCGTGAGACCCGCAAGCGCAGTGGCCCGAGTGGACAGGGTGGATGACGGTGCCGTTGTCTGGGCAGACGTGAGGGACATGAGGCAAGGGACTGCTTTTTCTGTTTGGTGCATGTTGAGTTTGAGAGGCCTCAGTCCAGCAGGCCAGGAATCCTGCATAGACGAACGAATGGCATTATGGGAACGAATATAATTGCCCAGGGAGAGCATGGAGAGGATGGCGCAGGACACAGCCCGGAGTCCTGACAGTGAAGGGAGGGGCAGGGAATACACCATTAAAAGCTTGATCGTGGCCCCAAAGTCCACAGATCGCACTCCGCAGAGGCCTGGCCCCTGAGCACAGACAGGCACAGCGCTCCGGCTTTCCCGGGACAGTATCCCGCAGACAAGGTGCGCCACCTCCTCGCCCCCAGCAGGGCTTTATAGGAAACGGGCATTTCATGGCAAACTAAGTCCACTCCTTCCAGAACGGTGTCACACTGCAGATGTAGGGTGAGGGTGGCGTCTATCTAGGGGAAGATGCAGGATCAGAACAAGCGCCGTGTGTGCACAGGCGCCCCTCCCCCAGGAAACCACCCTCCCCAGCCCTGCAGGCAGCGCTCCAAGCCAAGGACAGGCAGCTCCGCACCACTCTGCAGGCCGCACAGCCCAGACACACTAAAGCCAAATCCTGGACGTCCTGACCATTGACAGAAAGCCAGTTCCCCACTCACATCCTACACTGGAAAGCACTTTTCCCGGGGGGTGGGGCATGGGGCAACTGGAGACTAGGGGAGCAGAGCACTTGGGACGCTGAGAAGGGAAATGAGAAAGTGGTGTCTGGGGCTTACACGGGGCAGCAGGGAACGCCATCTTTAGGCTCGGCCCGCACGGCTAACCCTCCACAAGCCACACAGGGACAAGAATTGTTTCTCAACACTTTATTCAGTTCATTGCAGCGGGCAAGTTCCCAGCTAAACGCACAGACACAAGCGAGGTACTCCTGGGTTAATGCAGGAGCTGGCGGGGACGTGGCACTGAGCACGAGGTGAGGCGAGCCCGGAGGCGAGCCCCGATGAAGACCCAGCCGAGGGGTACGCCGCCCACAGCTACCTTCTACTCCCACACACAGCAGAGGGGCCAGCTACACCGCTCAGGGATGTTGGGGAACGGAGTAAAGAACTGGAGTCTGTCCTGGTGCACCTCATCTGTTGCTGCCTGTGAGTCGCAGGCCAGCGTGAGAACAAGTTAGGATAGCCCAGTGACAGCGGGCCAGACTAGTAAAACCTGTCATTGCCTCAGTGCCTCTTTGCCTGTTTTCATTCCCTCCTGAATTTCCATCTTCAGGCTACACACACTGGTGCTGGGAGCCTCAGGCGCCCAAGACGAGTCTTGGGGGGGGGGGGCAGCATTTCTCCCCACTGCAGTGTCCTGTGCAGCAGCTGACACTGTAGAACACGCCTCTACGGCTGACCTGATGTCGTCCCGCCCGGGCCAACGCCTAACCGCAAGCATAATTTTGAAGACAGGTTTAGAAAGTGGAATATGGATGAGAATAGGAAATAAACTCCAAAAAGTTGTAGTCTCTGAGGACTGGGCCAGACGCAGGCCAGTTCACAGACAGTCTCCCTAGAAGGTACAAAACTGTTGCTCAGTTACTAGGAACACACCGGCATCCAGAGCTGAGGCGCTGAGAACTGCTGGGTAAACACTGTGCTTAGGTGTGGGACTGTCAAGAGTCCAGTGGAACCTTCTCTCACTCCCGGGAGAGAGGCTGCGTCGGGACAGCCCTGCACCACCCCAGCATGTCAGAGCCATGGCAGCCTATTGGCACGTACAAGGCTCACACACAATGCCACAATTTTAATTCCAAAGGGCACCTTGAGTGGCATCTGTCACTTTTCTGAATTTATCTGTGAGGAACATACTTTGGGGCATTTTAATGGCATTTAAGTTTTTGGCAAAAGAGTAACTTTGGTCATAGCCACAGATTTATAAAAATGTTTTAAAGGGATTATTATTTCTGATTCAAATAATATTTTTAGCAACATGTAGTGATACACAACAAGAAAGTAAACATTTCATATCTAACGTCAGAGCAAAACCTCTTGACCAGCATCTTCTAAACTCAGAGGAGTCAGTAGTGCTTATTACAACAGCAGGCGGTTCTCGCACACAGGATCAGAAAAATACCAAAGAAGGCACAGCCTGTTATTGTCAGAGGTTTGTGTTGGCAGTAGTGTTCTTTCTGGAAGGCACAAGTTGGAAATCTGATTACCCCAAGGTTTAAAATGCAGTTCTGAAGGTAACATCCTCGGATGAGAATAACTAACTTGGAACCAATCCCCTTAACTGGAATCAATGGCAATGAACCAGACAACATCCCTTCTAGATCACAGTGCACTGGAACAGAGGCGCCCCCACACGTGGGCTGGCTGACCACACTGGTTTGGAGTGCATAGTAAGAACAAAGGCACATTTCCTAGAAATCAAATTTTACATTAACTAACAGAAAAGAATTGTTTGAGATATAACAGTAGGTGAGCTGGATAACAGAGCAGGTTCTGAGTCCGAAGTCTTGAAGAGGGTTCTTGAAACAGCAGGCTGGAGTTTCACTGGTTCTTCATGAAGAAACACTCCACACTAACAAGCAGGGGAGAGGCAAAAATAAAAAAGAAAAGGCAGGGAAAATAGCAGTTTAGTCTCTCAGTGCAAATCCGGAATGGGCATCAAATGCTGCAGTCTAACTGTGAACAGAAGTTCCACTTGGCTGGCTCCTAACTAGAGGCTTTCTCCCTGCATTTCGTGGGGGGCTGGGGGACACTTTCGAAAGAAACGATTCAACAGGACCCCGCTGTTACAAGGCATGTCCCTGTCAAGGAGCTCTCAGAAAGGAAGACGTGATTCCTTGGAGGGTCTCATATGCTGGGAACATGGCAGCGGTCGCTCCAATGAGATGCGTAGAACAGCAGGAGCTGGATGTGCACACGCGTCCACGCGCACGTGTACACTGGTACTAGTACACACCACCCACCATGGGGCGCTTTCTACATAGTATCCAGCTTTGCCTTCGTAAAAGGTAGGTGCTGTGATTACCCCCATTTCACAACTGAGGAAAGTGCGTGTCAGAGAGGTTAACACCGCTGGAGGGTGGGCTGCAGATCACAGAGTCCGGCTTTCAGTCATCAGACTAGACTGTTTCCCATAAAAGTAAACATCTGATGAAAATACAGCCAGAGAGAACACTGAGCGCTCAGTGTAAGTGAATCGTTTTCTCTGACAGCAAAGGCTCCTGTCTATGTAAGAACATCGCATTTACTGAATGCTCCAAGCCACGCCTTGGAGCCAGCCCCCATCTCAGAAGGGCTTTCCTCCTGGCCCTCAGGTGCGCGCCCGCGGACACACGGGGAACTGCCCGCTGGGCCTGGGACTCACCGACGATGATGATGATGATGATGACGATCACGGCGATCCCGATGGCCCACATCTGCAACGATACGCACCGGCAGTCACGCCTCAGACCAGAGTAACGGGTTCAGCAAGAGCCCCGTCTCATCTGACTAGTCACCAAGGAGACCTGGAGGTCCGACCCGCGATGCTGCCCGACCCTTCAGACTAGAAACTGAATGTCTGCAGGTGGGGGCTGAAGCTTCCCGGTCTGTTCCCATGAGAGGGTCCCTTGAGAGGCCTGTCGCATGGACACATCTTCCATGCGGGACGGGGTGGGGTGCTGCACCTGTCCCGCTGCCCCTTCAACGCCAGGAGTGTTTGGGCTGGGGCTGCAGCACACCTATTTGGAAGCCACAAGAGACATCTGCGGGCCACACCCCACTCTCCCGTGGAGCCTGCTGTGACCTCTGAGCTTTTCCCTCCAAATCCAGCTTCCCTGCCAGTGTGTGTTCAGGGCTCTGGGTATTGGTAGCCTCTGTCGGTTCTCTGAGAACACACAGGGCGACTTATGTGAGGACAGTTAGAAGAGAATCACCTTGCAGTTCTTCCACCAATATTTTCTCTTCAACTTGGCCGCACTTGTTTCAAACTGGGATGCCCCCGCCTGCAGCGCGTCTGCACGGTCATCCAGCTCGGAGAGCTTCTGGTCCCTCTCCAGCACCTTGTCCACGTTGACTCTCATGATGTCCACCACCTGGACAGAGGCCACCATGCACGCCACGCACACAGGAATGGAAGACAAAAGTCCTCAACAGAATTCACAGCATGCTCCCTGCGCCCCCCTTCATTGCTTTATTACTTTGAGCCAGACTATCATTAAGAAAGGGGGGTGGGCAGGAGGGGCTCACTCTTTCATGATAAAACACTCAGCAAATGAAAAATAAAAGGAAACTTCTCTAATATTATAAGAGAGCATTTATTAAAAAACCCCACAACTAAAATCCATCCTAAGATCATTTCGTACTATCAGGAATGCGATGGGCACGCCCACTTTCACTGCTGTCACTCAGCACTGTACTGGCCATTCGTTCTGGCCAGCGCAACAAGGCAAGAAAAAGAAATAAAAGGAATCCAAATAGGAAGAGAAGTAAAATTCTCTCTCTTTGCAGGTGATTCCATATATGGAAAATCCTGGGCGGCATGCATACGTGCACAAAGACACACACACCACTTTACCAGAGTCAAAAAATTCAGTATAAGTTTCAGGATATAAGATCAACCCCATAAATCAGTGTGTCTATAAACTAGTAACAAGGAAGAAGTTAAGAAACAAATCCAGATGTAACAGCATCCAAAGGGACAAACACAAGCAGGGACGCGAGAGACGTGCAGGCTGACAGCGGCAGAGCATCGCTGGAGGACATCGCCGCCGTGATCACAGACTAGACTCAGTGTTGTGGTAACGGCATGTTCCCCAGTGATGGAAAGACGTAAGGCCTCAATATACTCTCTACAGAAATTCTGACAATCTTTTCTGTTGTCCTCAAGTTCACATGGGACTGCCAGGGGTCTCAAACAGTCAAAACAACACTGAAAAAGATGCAGAACACACACTCTCCAATTTCAAAAAATGTTACTATTTACCAAAATGTGTGATTTTGGCATCATATAGACAAAGATACCAATGGAGTAGAACCAGGAGTCCAGAAATCAACTTAAACGTCTACAGCAGGAGATGCTGGAACTGGATAGGCACATGCAAAAGAATGAAGACGGACCCCTCTGTTACCCCATCTACTAATATTAACTGAAAACAGATCATGGCCCAAGTATAAGAGCTAAAACTATAAAACTCTTAGAAGAAAACGTACATTTTAGCAACTTTGGAGTTGGTCATGGATTTGATACTATAGCCGGGAAAAATGACAGAGATAAATTGAACTTAAAAAATTAAAATCTTTGGTGCATCGAAAGATATTATCAAGGATATGAAAAAATAATCCAGAGCATGGAAGAAAATATTTCCAAATCACATCTGAAAGGGGCTTCATGTTTAGACCATACAAAGGACTCTTGCCACACAACACTGAAAAGAGAAATTACCCAATTAAAAACGGGGAAATGGACCTGCAGACCCATTTCTACAAAAACATACACAAATGGCCAACAGGCACATGAAAAAGATACTCCACATCACTAGGATGACTACATGCAAAAAAGAAAAAAGAGAGGGCCTCCCCGGTGGTGCAGCGGTTGAGCGCTGGGTTACGAAGCTGCCCGCGTCCTCTGCGGCGCCGGTTCGATCCCCGGCTGCTCCCCGGCCACCGGAGGAGGGTCCCACATGGCGCGCAGACCTCTCCTGCCGCCCACTGCTCCCCTCAGCAGTGTACTTCGGTCCTTCTGCCTGCTCTGCTCCCCGCTCTGGCTCTGGTGAACTCTCTCACTCACCCTCCCGCGCTTCTGACTGTACCCAGTGCATGTGTAAACAGAACAAACAAACAAATAAATAAAGAAATAAACATGCCTCTAAAAAAAAAAAAAAAAAAAAGAAAAAAGAGAAAGAAGAGGCAGAGTAAGGAGGAGTGGAGAAACAGGAACTCCTGGACACTGATGGTGGTGACGTGAAATGATAGTACCACTGTGGAAATCTAGCTGTTCCTCAAAAAGTTAAGCATACAATTACGATGTGACCCAGCGATTCTACTCCTAGTAAGCTACCTAAGAGAATGAAAACATATATCCACACAGAAACTTTAATGCAAATGTTTACAGCAGCATTATCCAAACCCGTCAAGAAGAGGAAACATCTCAAAAATCCTTCAGTAGATGAAAGGGTGAACACATGACGATGTGCACATTCAAGGGAATATTACTCAGCCGTACAAAGGAACAAAGTTCTGACAGACGCTACAACTGGATGAACATGGAAAACATTACGCTAAGAGAAAGCAGCCAGACACAAAAGGCCACATATTATAATGACCCCTTTTATATGATACACCCAGAACAGGAAAGTGCTGAACAGTTACCAGGGAATGGGAGAAAAGGGGGCATGGGGAGTGATTACTAAAAGTGTATATAGGATATTTCTCTGGCATGGTGAAAAACTGGCAAAACTACATGGCAGTAGCACTTCAAATACAGCAAGGACCAATGAACTGTACCCTTTAAAATGGCTCATCAGGTGTCATTTCACCTCAATTTAAAAAAAAAAAAAAGCTCTCCTTAAAATTCTTTTTGTTAAGAATTTGGTTTTGTTACTAAGTTTCATGCAGAATGGAATTAGAGTTAAGTTTTCTTAGCAGGAAAATATAAGTGTTTCAGAATTAAGTTCACAAACCAAATGATCAGATCAAAATATTACATATGATTTAACAGTAGAACCTAACATCAGTTTAACTCTGCATTTTAAGGCAGTTAAAGGCAGAAAGACCAAGGCATCTCTGTTGGACAGAGACGGCTTTTAGGAGAAAGGAAATACCAGTCTCAATTTCTCAAACAATCTTCAGTTGTAGTTCTGAACAGACAGGGCAGAACGAAAGATGCCATGAAAGTACCTTAACTCAAGAATCCCACAAATACACATCTGCTGGGCAAGAGCAGCTTGCCAGCGTCTGCCTCTGGATGTCAGTGGGTAACAATCAGGTAAAGGTCTGCAGGGGCTTGCTCAGGTGGGGTAACCAGTAAGTCGGGCTGCCGGCGAAAGCATTTTAATGGAAAAATCTGGCCAGCAGAATTGGTTCTGGCTTGCACAATCTATAGCCCGAACCCTTATTGGTTACCCTATTACTCTATTTTATAAAGTGGATCATTTTCCTTTTCCAATTCTTTTTTATTGGGGCAAAATACACATTATAAAGGGGTTCTTGGAATTTTGGGGAGGGGTGTTTGTCTTTCGGGTATGTAATCCTGTCACAGGAAAGCAAGCACAGAGCTAGGAGACTCACTTCTATTTGCACCAGGGCTTGCAGAATGATAGGGATCAAATTTTTGATACATTTGTGATACAGTCAGAATTTACACTCACACTTCCCTGATACTTTTTTCTAAACAGATCTGCAGAGTATCCATGTTGGTTTAAAATTCATGTTTCTGGGCCTCCCCGGTGGCGGTGGCGCAGCGGTTGAGCGCTGGGTTGTGAAGCTGCCCGCAGCCTCTGCAGTGCCAGTTCAATCCCCGGCTGCTTTCCGGACACCGGAAGGGGGTCCCACATGGCGCGCAGACCCCTCCTGCCGCCCGCTGCTCCCCTCAGCAGTGTACTTCAGTCCTTCTGCCTGCTCTGCTCCCCGCTCTGACTTTGGTGAATTCTCTCACCCTCCCATTCTTCTGACTGTACCCAGTGCTTGTATAAATAAATAAATAAGTAAATAAATCTTTTTAAAAAAATATATAAAATTCATGTTTCTGACATTTAAGAACAATACCTCATCTACTTGATTTTGCGTCTGCTGAAGTCTTCGATTACTGCCTGGGGCAGCGCTTGAACCTCCAGGCCCCGCTGCAGACCTGAAACATGTAAAGGCACATGCTGAGCACATTCTTACTGCAGCCACATCTGTGTAAGCATGAGGATGCCAGGGCCTCCCTGGTGGCGCAAGGGGTTATGTCTCGGTGCTATCAAGTATCACTTGTCACTGCAGCCTGAGTTCCATACCCCGCCAGGGAGCTACCCACATGGCCCAGACCTTCCTGTCTCCCTGCTGCTCCCCTCAGCAGCGAATTTCAGTAGATCTGCCTGTTCTGCTCCCCACTCTGTCTCTGGTGAATCCTCTTACCCTACACCTCTGGCCTACACGTCCCTGCTTTTGTTAAGGGGTTAAGACGCAATGAAGCTGTCCGCAGCCACTTCAGCATGAGTTCGATCCCCAGCTGGCCAGCGAGCTACCCACATGGCATGGCAGACCTCTTCTGTCTCGCCCACTGCTCCCCTCAGCAGTGTGTTTCAATCAATCCGCCTGTTCTGTTCCCCGCCTGTACATGTCTTTGGTGAACTCTCTCACCCTCCCACACCTCTGGCCTGTACCCCGGTTCTTATATGCATGAATAAATAAATCTTTTAAAAATTTACTATTTTTGTATACAAAATGCCATGCCATGTGGGTATCTCAGTGGCCTGCCGGAATCGAACCCGACCGCAGAGGCTGTGGACAGCTTCACAGTGCTGTGCTCAACCGCCCTTGCCACGAGGGAGGTCCCAAAATAAATAAATCTTAAGAAAAAAGAATGAGGGCCTCCCTGGTGGCACAGCGGTTGAGCTCCGCGCTGCGAAGCTGTCCACAGCCTCTGCAGCGCTGGTTTGATTCTCCGCTGGCCAGGAAGAACCCCACATGGCACGGCAGACCTCTCCCGCCTCTTCCACTGCTCCTCTCAGCAGTGTATTTCGTCAGTCTGCCTGTTCTGTTCCCTGCTGTCTCTGGTGAACTCTTTCACCCTCCCATGCTTCTGACCTGTACCCCAGTTCTTGTATAAAATAAATAAATCTTAAAAAAAAATGAAAATAAAATAAGTCTTTACACAAAAAAGTATGAAATTGTTATTCCAGGCATCTCAGTGTTAGGAATCAGAACTACAGCAGGAAAAGAACTCCTTCCTGTGGAACGAACAGAGGTTCTAATGCCATTTCTTCTAATTCCTCTGTAATTTCCAAGACTCATTCACATGTTAAAAGTGATGAGGGTCTAAAGTGAAGATTTTTAATGGGATCTACTTTGCATCACTGAAGTACCTGATCCTAAAGTAGATAAATTGTACTTTCCAACTTTTTATGACTTATTTCAAGGCACACATCTACTTCAACGCACCGTTACTCTGATCTTTCCATTTGTTTTTATAGTCATGAACTATCACAGAATGTATTTTTTTCCAAGAGAAATTGATCATTTACAGAAGAAGGGTCAGGAACACTCTATGCAGAGAGGTGTGTTGAGTGCAAAAGGTGACTTGAAGCAATGCTCCCTCTTGTAACAGGTACTCATCTTTGAAATTCCTCGCCAAACACTTTATTTCTCCCCAGGCAGATCTTTCTTGACCCACTCTAGCATTGATGTCCCTATTGCTTGCATTACTTGGTTGACAATGGTTTGATTTTTCAGATACACACACACACACACACACACACACACACACGAGATGTCTTCCCTTCCCTAATCACAGGCTCCTGTGTCTTAGAATTCTTTTCTGTAGCCAAGCCAACACCTAGCATGGGTCTTGCTACAACAGTCACTGATTTATTGATTCAACGGTTATTTTACATCCACCATGCATCAAAAACCAAGGAAGCAGCAGCTCCCCACCCCTGCCCTCACGGTTCGCTTCTGACAGGTAACAGTAAAGAACCATGTGCTGGTGCATTTTCTCACTTAATCCTCAGAACTCTTTGAAGTGGGTTTACTATGCTTTTAACCCTACTTTAGAGACGGGCAAAGAAAGGTTTAGAAAGTCAACACAGCCGGGTGTCGTAGAGCCCGTGGCCAGACTGGGTCCCGTGTGTTCCACGGATCTGGATCTCAGCCACTGTGACCTGGCACAGCAGCCTCGGCAGGAACACCCCAGGACGGCGTCCTGGCTCCTGGAGGGAACCAGGCGAACACCCATTCCTTTCTCCGCTGCAAGTGAGCAACCAGCAGACTGGAACGGGCACAGACGGCCCTCGCGATGCTTTATAGCATTCTCTGAACGCTGCCCCGGAACCCCCACGTTTTCAGGGGCCACTACAGGGGGACCTCGCTGAGAGGGAGACCCGGGCCCGGCCCCCTCGCCGAGAGCACGCCGACCGCTGGTGCCTCGAGGCAGGGCCGAGGTCCTTTCTCCGCCACTTCCGGAGCCCGCCCAGGGCCCGGCAGCGAGCAGACGGCCCAGGCCGGGCTGTGGGCCCCGCCTCCGGGGACCCTGGGACCGGGGGAGACAGGCGGGAAGGGGCGAGGGCGAGCCGGGGCCGCTCCCGACCTCCGGAAAGCCCCGGCCGCCCCGCCCTCGCCCTTCCGCAGCCACCCGACAGTCGCGGGGCCCCCCGGGGCGGTCGGCGGCGCCGCGGGGCGCCGCCTGGGGAGCCCGAGGCCGCCCGCGTCGCGGGGCGTCACTCACATTTTGGCGGTGGCGGCGGCGGGCGAGGGTCGGCGGAGCGGCGCGGCCGGACCAGAAGCTGAGGAGCTGGGCGGGGCGGCGGCGCGGGGGCATAACGTCACTAGGCGGGGCCGGAGGGGCGGGGCGCGCGGCCAGGGCCGGTGCCAGAGGGACGGGAGGGGAGGGGCGCGTCGTGAGGGGGCGGGGCCTGAGGGTCGACGTAGTGGAGCGCGCCGCGAGGAGTGGTGGGGGAGGACCCGGAGGGGCGGGGCGTGCCTCAAGGGGCGGGGTCTGAACGGCAGGGAGCGTTGCGAGGGGCAGGGCGGGGGGGGTAACACTGGGAGCGCCGCGAGGGGCGGGGCCTGAGGGGTCGGCGAGGCAGGGCGCGGCGCGAGGGTGGTTGCCGGGGGGACCGGAGGGGTGGGGTGCGCCTGGAGGGGCGGGGCCTGAGGGGCCTGGGGGCGGGGCTCGGCGCGGCGCGAGGGGCGGGGTGCCCGGGCGCCGGCGGCGACCAACCTCCGACGGGCGCCCGGCCCGGGAAAGGGCGCGTCACTTGTGTGAGCCCGGCACGTTCCCCGGGCCCGTGGGCCGTTTCTCTGGCCGCGACCGCACCGGAGACGGCCCGTGTGCTTCTGCGTAACTCGGCGCTGTCCCCTGGGTGCGGGACACGCGCCGCCCGCGTCCAGTTAAAATGCGACGGGACGCCCGTCTGGGAGCTGTCGCAGGCATCGCGGGGGGCGCCCTCTCCGTGCGCCCGCGGGTCACGAGGCGTGCGCCGCAGGGGCCACACCAGGCCCACCCGGGGCGCAGAGGCGGGTCGCCTGGGGGCCGAAGAGAAGTGAAAGGGGAAGCGACCTCTTTAACTCTGCAGGGAGCGTTGAAAAGGGGAACGCAGGTGTCTGTCAGAATAAACCTGAGGCCCTGGGGAGGAGGTGGGGGTGTGGGGGAGCAGCTAGGAGAACTTTCCAGGCAGCGGAGGCACAGACGCCTACGAAGAGCAGGTGGACATGATGGGGGCGCACAAGCCGCAGGCAGGTTGGGCCCAGGGGAAGTCGAGACTGGACAGCCAGGGAAGCTAAGCGAGCAAGGGGAAGGCCACTTCGGTGGGGGACCCTGGACCACCCCATGCTTCTCAGGGTTGCAGCCCTGTCAGGCAGTATTTTCCAGCAGGAGGGCAGAGAGTGGGAAGCTTAGGTGACTGGGAATGAAACGGTGATGCCAGACTAGCAGCAGGTCTCAACCAGAAATGCCTTTTTAAAAGCTTCCCAGGATTTAACAGAAAAGGTGAACTTTTTGGTGTCTTTAACTTTCAAATGCCTGCTCTGGTTTACACAAATGACTGATTGGTTGGAGGGAAGAGATCTGAAAAGCAAGTGTTTCTGGAACTGGCTTTATGGAGAAACCGTCCCTTTCATGGACATCTGAAACGGTGCAACGCTCAGTGTCAAACACTATTTAGATAGAAGGATATACCTGAAATGATTTTGTCTGGTTTGAAAGGCATCAGGTGAAGTTGAAGCAAAACACACACATAGTATGGGGAAATTTTCTTCATTTTTAATTTACAGCAGAAAGAATATAAAGCATTCAGAAAACATTTTCCATATTTTAAGGGCAATTCAAAACATTTTGCATGGTTTCCAGCAGCTGAGTTCTTCAACAGATCCATTGATTCAATGATGCTTTACATGCACAATTACAAAAATAAAACTTACAAAAAAGAAGACATCTAGACTAGTTTTACATGCAAGTCTCAGGGACCCCCCATTGGGCGCCACCTACTGTGTGGAACTGCCATAAGCGACCGTGCAGCCAGAGAGGGGTTCAAGTTATTGTCTTTATTTCGTTCACACAGTACAGCTGATTTCAAATGGGTAACAAGAATAGCAATTAAATCTTCAGGAGACAGAATAAGATTAGCTATTAATTTTATAATGAAATCCTACTCCTGGCACTTGGGAATTCAGATTATCCAAGAGAGCTGCGCTTACCTATCGTCTTATATTCAAAATGAAGATTCGCAACCAAGAAAGAGCGTCAGAGATGCTTCGTTCCGGTGGAAGTGCATCTGAACCTCACCTGGGATTCACAGTTGTACTGGTAAGTTACACAGGAAGGTTTGGAACCTACTTCCTATCCCCTCCATAAGAACCCTCCTCATTCTGTGTCAGTCTTTATCTTCCGGAATTTTCTAACTTACTCAGCTAATAATGTAGCATGTGAAACATTTAAAAAAAAAAAATGTGAGGGTTAAAGCAAATCCACTGAGGTCATTACTCTTGTCAAAAGATCGGTTATTTGTACCGTAATCAATGGAATAAACGTCCCTAAATTCGGTGTTCATATAGGATATTCTGAAAGAGCTGGCTTGCACATTCGATTCCCATTTATTGTGTCTGTAAATTACTCAGTGTCCTCCTATACGTCAAATTGTGTAAAATAAGAGGGGCTTGGGGGACTGCAACCGCTGCAACATAACCCACACATTTAAAAACAAAATCGAGTCAGGTCAGTTTACAAATGTACAGGTGGCTCTGGGTGTGGGGCTGCCACTGTTGTCGAAGCTGATCACAAGCAGTAAGACGTATACTGTACAGTAATTCGAGGTTGGCAGTGAAAGGAAGTAATTAAAAAACAAGTACAATTATAGAAAAGGCACCAAGAGCACTGACCCCAGTTTTTACCACAATCGTTTTTGTATCTACTTTCCTTCCAAAGACACCAGTTTAAAAGCTTATTTGTGAGTATTTTCAGGCTTCACAAGAAGTCTTGAGTTTGAAATGACAGTTGGCAGCCAGAACCAAGAAAAACCGGTGATCTCAGCTTCTCACACCAACTGATCCTGAAATGTAACCTGGGAATCTTAAACTGGCATCGGCAAATGCGCACATTATTCTCTCAATTTAGCTTTAATAGTTTAATTTTTAAAAGCATCCGATTTCTTTGGCTCCTCATGATGTGGACACAGTAATAGATCACGACATCCCTACGAGACCAGTTTGCATCTTTTTGATTTTTAGGATCTTTGTGTGCAGTATTTTTTTTTTTTACATTTTCTGATTTCCAACAGGAGATATGAAAACGTGAGACATTTTTCTACTTTTCATACTATTTCTTTTGTCAGGTTTTGATCGTTCTAAGTGTTCTTTGTCGGAGTGAGTGGATGGTGTTAAGCTATATACTGATTCATCTTATGATTATCTGTTTAGCAAAAGTAACTTAATTTTCTTAAGCAATATTAGCATTCACATTACTTGGCACCATTGGCAAAAAAAAATTTTTTTAAATAAAATAAAATAAACTCCTGGTAGCCAAAATTAAATGTAAACATATCCTTTTTTTTAAGTAATGTTACTCTGCCTTTTTTCCTAAGTCTAAATACAGTAGCTCTTTTTTTTTTTTTGCAGTTTAGTCATGCTTTAGCAAAATGTTCTTCTAAAGAACATTTAAAATAAAGTACTCTTATAGTGAAATAAAGTGTTTTTTTTTTTTTGTTTCATTTTACAGACCATAGCCACTAATGCTTTGCTTTTGTTCATTTCTTTTTTCTTGGTTTCATGCACATATCTCTTTAATATATACAATATGTACAAACAATACATCCACATTTTTCTCGCTCATTCAGACAAAACTATACAAATAATTTTATCTTGCCATGTTATTGACCTTTGTGAATAAAATATTTAGCAATTAATATAATCCCTTTCAAATATTTTCTCACTTTCCATTTCTACCTTCTATATATACACAGAAACTGCTCCGTTTGGATGAGATATCGCCAAAAATAATGGGATTTACTGGCCAGAACGCAGCACCACTCTGATCTTTTAGGTGGCAAATGTCCAGGCAAGGTTTATGATTCCTTAGAATGACTACAGTTTCCAAGGTTACTTAAAAAAGCTACATGCTTTACCAATTTCTCTAAGTTAATTCTCATTGCACGTGAAAGTAAGGCAAAGAAATTAAAGTGCCGACCGTGAGAAAGGGGACAAGATGATGACTATCTATACTCGCAGGTTCTTGGGGGGGGGGGGGTTGGGGACCAGAAACTAAATTTAAACTCTGTAAGCTGTTTCCCATGATTCCCCGCGCATTCCCCGTCCACCACACACCCGCCCCTCTGCAAATTCCCACAAGACATTAAAAACCTGCAGATTTCAAAAGTTGCATTAAGTGTGCTGTAGAGATTAAAACAGAAACGAACACACGAACAAAATCAGATCGAAACAGTGAAGGAAATGAGAACACGCGGACCCGGCACAGATTTGTACGCTCCAGGTCCTCCACTGAGAATCAACCCCAAAGATTCAGCTTCTTGGAAATGACTGACAGGTGCAGGAAACAGTCTTCTCCCTTGTCGCTAGTGCATCCCCACCTTTTCTTATCAATATTTTTGGTATAAATATTTGTACAGTTCCACACGATGTTTGAATACAGCCCTATATGAGAAGGAAGCCGGCTCCCTCCTTAGGGAAGGAGGCCTCTTTCAGTTCCTTGTTTGCCCATGATCCAACAGAAGATTGAGTTCCAAGATGTCTTGCTGATCAAATGAAAAGTTGTCCATGAAAGTGCAAATGCAATGACCAAAACATTCCTGTTAAAATCCTGCAGCTGATCGCCCCCAAACTGCAGAGGGAGTGTGTGTGTGTGCGTGTGCGTGCGTGTGTGTTGCGTGTCTCTGCTAAAAACGGAAATGAAAACAGTTTGAAAAGCAATGTCACATTGCTAAGGGATGCTGCTGTGTGTCTTCAAGTCCCTTGGCCTTTTTCAATTCTTTCACTCTGGAAGAGAAACAGAACAAACACCAGGTGATAACTACATAGTGAAACAGCACCAGGGCGCGGAGGGGGCGTCTACCGTTCCCTGAGTGGGAAACCCACCGAGATCATTCTCAGGATTGACGGCCAGAGGAACCTCTACTGAGCTGCTGGGGGACGTTCAGAGCCATGACCCCTCCTAAGATTCTGCGCTACATCAAGCCTCTGATCAGAAAGCACGCTGGCCTGTGGCCTACGCGCCAACTCCAAGGGAAGAGCACGCTCACCTTAGAGAAAGCTAACTTCAAATATCTTCCTTTTTGGCCTGGTGGACC